AATGAGGAAAAATCAAGGTACTTCATTTTAGAAATCATTTAAAAATATTTATTAAGTGGTATAAACCAACATTAAGGTACACACAGGGCATGAGTCCAGCATCCATTACATATGGCCACATTCACAATATACCAGGATAAACTATAAATAGAGGTTGAACATTCAGAGCAGATTTACTAAAGAAAATTAACCCACAATCAACATCTCAATGGTAACAGTAAGGTATTTGTATTTAAATTTCATGTCTAGCAACAAGATAAGGACCCAAGGTTAGCCATGTTTGCTCCATGAGTGACCACCCACAATGAGATGAACATGCTAAGAGTTGTATGTATGGATATAAAAACAGGTGTAAAAAGGCAATAATTCGTATTACACAATGTTTATTGTTATGTAATAAAACATGTTTAAATACCTCCTGATAACCCTCTTTCAAAAGGACTTCCAATCTCTGAATATATATCAAGTATCAAAAGTAATACCACCATGAAATTAGTTTAAATAATTTCAATTTTGCAGTTATGTAATATAATAATAATGACAAAAACAACAACATTGGGATCAATAACAATAATAAATAGAGAAAAAAAAATCATCGTTGTGATGATGATTTGTCAGTACTCTTAGTTCAGAGCTTAAAATGCAGAGTATTCCAGTGCCAATGTCCTAAAAGAATTGTTGTGAGTTCCATCTAGGGAAAAACTTGAGGTGCAAGTAACAAATCAAGATTTGAGCCTTGCTTCTCTCAATGACCAGTTAAACATCATGCACCCAGTTGTACAAAGCTATATATATCACAAACCAATTCTTCTAATGGTGTGTTACCCTACAACACAAGAAACATTGACTGAGCTGTTTACTACATGCTACATCACAAAAACTGTAAGTACATTTCCCATAAAGTGAACTCACTTGTATCTAAGCACTTCCTGATATCCAAGCTGTCAACAATTTCATCTACCTAAAAAAATTATTTAAGAAGATTAACTAAAATACATGTCCACTTTTTACTTAACCGTTTAACTCCCAGAAGTGATGAACATAAAACTTCTCCCTACAATATCCATACATTATTCAGTAAGCAGGTAATGAGAATATTCAAACTCATCAGGTAGAAGCTGCTATCTTGATCTAGCACCAAGTTCTCATAACTTATTAACAAAGAAATGTGTAGCAGCTAGAGGGGAGAATTAACAATCAGATCTTGGGAGTTAAAGGGTTAAGGTACCCATTTAACTGTGGAAATGTTATCCATAAGGATGCCTCAATGGAACGAAAACTAAGTAAAGTAAATACTTAATTTCATAATGTTTCTTTGAATGGTGAAAAAAATTGTTAATGCTAATGAAATCTGTTGATATTTGTTTTCATACATGTCAAGAATAAGCCTATTGCTTTGGGGAGGCTTCTGTGCCTTGAGTTTGACATTCATAGCAAACTGCACCCCAAATGCAAACCAATTCTGCAAAGGTGAAATCTATGGTCATACAAATACCTTTTGTAACTTTTCAGCTTTAGACAAGGCATCTGGCAGGCGAAGCATTGCAGAAAACTGCAGAGAACAAGAAACATAATATGATAATGATTATATATCAGATTTAAACTTTTGAATTAGAAACACTTATATAAATGACTGTTCAGCAAAGATGATTCTGGCTCATAATTCCAGAAAACTAGGGAGATGAAAACAATCACAGTCAAACCTCGATTATCTGGGTTTTTCAATTATCTGGACTCACTTTTCTGGGCCCATATTTCAACAAACAATTTTATTACTCACATTGAAGATCCAAAGCACAATGATGCACACATGATATAGCAGCTTAAAACAAGCTGATTTAAATAAGCATTTCAAGTCATAAAATCTTGTCACCTTAAAGAGTTGTCGTAGTTAATTTGGCAAATTTTTTGCAACAATGCACATTCATCTGACAATTTTCCCTTAAAAACCATTGAATAATATTACTTAAATACCTATTCAGTTTTATTTTTGGCTCCTTAATATTCATAGTTTTGATTGTGCGGACTCTCAGTTATCCAGATTATTCAGCCCAGTCCTTATCAATCAGGATAGTCAAGATTCAAAGGTACTGGTAATTAGAGTAAATGTACTTGCATGGTCAAGTTGGACAAAAAAGTAAAAGATGTGAATTCCCACCTATGTACAAAGGTACTCTAATTAACTAAACAATAAATTTGAACAAATATATGGTTAAAACTGAGACAAAAATTGAGATGCTTACAGTAAGAGTTTCCCGAAGAGTAAGATTGGCAAAGAAAATGTCTTCTTGCAGGACATAACAAATAGCCTTCTTCAGTTTCTTGTTCAACTGTGTACCATTGAGAAGGATTTCACCACTTTCTGGAAACATTCTTCCAGCAAGAATATTTAGCAATGTTGTTTTACCAGAACCTAAAACAAAGATGAATAATGTGAATGTTGTAGGTTCAGCTGTTTTCTTAGCTAAAAATTGTTAGATCAATTTTTTTTCTTTCCTTTGCTTCAGATAATGAAATGTTGTTGTAGCAATGTTGTTTTACCAGAACCTAAAACAAAGATGAATAATGTGAATGTTGTAGTTCAGCTGTTTTCTTAGCTTAAGGCTGTTAAATCAAATTTTTTTCTTTCTTTTGCCTCAGATAATGAAATGAACAAAAAGGAAATAGTCCAGGAGAGAGTGAGGTCAGATTGAGGGAGGGTGAATGAAATTGTTCTGAGCTGTTTCAAGATATTGCGATGTCAGCATGTAATGTTCCCGCTTTTTGTCGCATATTGATTGAGAGCACTAGGGAAGACGAAACTTGCGATAGTATTTCTCATTCTCTCGTTAATAGCGGTCGTACTTTTTTTACTAGTAGCAGGACTTCGGAACAGGGCATTTGAAAGCTCAAATCTTACTTTCGGACCTAATTTACATGGTAAAAATTCACTTGCAACAAGCAAGATTGCAATTTTAACTCGTGAACCTATTGACCCAGATATTACCCAATGATTACCAGCATGTGAACATCTTCTTGAAAAAAGCTTGGCTATTTGTTTTTACATAAAAAAAATATATTTAGAGATCTGAGATACTTACCACTAGGGCCCATCACAGCTAACAATTCCCCTGGGTTGACTTTCCCGCTTACATTTCGAAGAATTTCCCGATCGCCGATCTTTACACCAAGATTGTTAAAAGAGAGGAAAACAGGTATATTCTCCTCCACGTCTTCAATCATTTTTGTAGCTCTTTCTATACTAATGCGCTGGTTTCCTTCGCAGGCCCTTGCTGGTATTAGTAGCAATGAAGAATAGAAGCATTATTTGTACAGTGCCAAATAGACATTCATGTCATCATCATGAAGTTTATCTTTCTTTTCATTGGTTGCCTTACTTATATTGACCAATCAAGAGCTGAACCCCAAATCCATCGTTACGTAATCGTAGAGAGAAGGATATACCCGGAACTTTCATGTGATGGTGCAATTTCGCAAAAAGGTAATATTCCACAAGGGAAAGGTGCCGTCTATCGCCGTCTATTTATAAAATAACTATGGTTCACCAGTGCATCAAACGATAGGTTTTTGACCAATCAGAATGCTTGTAATATCTCAGTTATTTTGTAAATCTTATTAGGATGACAGGGAACAGAAAACATGCAATAATGTTCGCTTGGAGTTTAAAGTATATTTCGGATCCATGTGAGTTTCAACTATGGTATTGCAAACAGCTTGGACTTTCTTTTATTGGTTTCTGCTTTTCTTTGCTTTTTGGTTTTTGTTCTTTGCTTTTTTTTTTTTTTTTTCAACATGGCGTCATCCTAAGTCGACTGTTGACCTCATTTGGAGACAATTTTCGAACAGTTAGGTTGTGCTTGAGCAAAAACATCTGTGTTGTCTGTAGATACTCTCGAAATGAGTACATTAGAGCAATAAGGCAAGTCACATGCAATGTTTCTGTCCTTATTCTTCTTTTAATTCCTACTGTATCGAATGGTACACAAGACAAGTGAAACAGATAGAGAAGCGTAGCACGCGCAGCGGACCGGTTAAACAGGTTTTTTTACAGTACAAAAGACCAACTGCCCAATATCGCGTGATATTTGTAATCGATTCGTGCGTTACTTCTTTTCCCTTAGAGCAGTTGGATAATAAAAAAATACCATCGAACGCTTTCTGTCAGTTATCTGTCAGTTGATATTCTCCTGTTTGCAGTGAGAAAGGATCGCCCCATAAAAAGTAACGAGAGACATGTACTAGCCACAAAGAACTTTTAAAGAACAAATTTTAATCAAAAGTGATAGTGGATAAACTGCCCAACACAAGTTAAAGAAACAAAGTAACGTTGGGATAAGAAGGCATTACAATTGAAATGATCATGCTATTACATTTGACAAGGGTGGAGATGTCATGTGTTTTAAACGTATATCATGGGTGAAAAGTTAAATTTACTGTCTATCATTGTAAATATTGGAAAATCAAGGCAATACTGTCTTAATGAAAACATTAACGATTCCCTCTTTATCAAATGAGACAAACGGGAACGAGTTGTGAGTGATTTAATTAAGCCAAGACTGCCACCGTAATTTTGGATCTCCGCCTGGGTAGATTTTAGTCACGTGCTAAGCAACGCATAATCAATAACAAGATAGAATTTCATTTCAGGCCTATTTATCAATTTTGTGGTGTATAATTTTCGCATTTTAGTACGTAATATGTATTTTGAATCATCAAATTGTCTTGAAACTTAAAAGAAAATTGTTCTTTAAAAATTCACTGAAAATCGGTAGCTAAAATTGTTTGTTTAGGTGTTATTTGATTTTCGTGTTAACCTGTAATTTCGTCAGTCGCCGGCATCTTTCGTTGCTTCACACAGGAAAAACACACGATACGCAACGTAATGATCGATTTTGTCCTCAATCTCACGCCATAACAGAAAAAGCATTTGAACATCTGTAAACTCCGTGCGCTTCGCAGTAAGTGATATTTTCAATGAATCTTCGGATTGTTTTCAAGTTCAAGGATTGTGAATTACAATTTTATGAAAAACGAAGGTTGTTCTGTTATTTCAGAGTGAATCCTTGCATGCCTGCCAGTCGCTGGCGCTGCTTGTTGAAACTAAAACGAAAAAAAAACACTCTTTTAAGATTATCATTGGCTTCTTTTTCACCCCACCACTATTCTAAGCAACAAAGGTCGCCATTTCGTTTGTTTATTGCTCGCCAAAAACTATCAAATGCACTCAAGAGCCTAAAATCGAAAAAAAATTTACAGGGATCAACCAATCGCGCGAGCGAGCGAGCGAGTGCTATTCCCTACATCGTATTTATAACTCGCTCTTGCGCATGCGCGCAATTTACGAGTTAAAAATAAGATATGAAATCAACGACGGTCACATAAGAATACACCAAAAATTTCAGGTTAAAAACCTTCATAAATTTGAGAAGACCGTAACTTACAAGCGGAGACTTTCCGTTCTGCGACCAAAATTCATTGGTAGAATTGCTTACTGAAATTTCAAAACTTTCCTTAAAACGAAAAAAACAAATGCCAAAATGAAATGCCAAAATATGAGATAAGCAGTTATGTTAAGAGTGCTCTAAAAGCAGCTGGACTGATAACTAACGCGAGATAAACTGCAGCTTATAGCACAATAATCCTATTATGTCTGGTAGAAATAGTTCCCAACTTCAAGATGGGATAGCTCTAATGCTAATGTTATCTAATGTTAGATAAGTCAAAACAAGAGCCTCATTGGAACTTGAGCTAATGCTCAATGTTTGCCATTTCCAGGGGCCAAAATAAACCCAGCATTATGATATAAGCTTATCTCACTGCCCGACAGGGCCGACATGTTGTTTCATAGGAAGTGCTTGTTCATTATCGCTATCAATGTTGAGTGCCTTGTGACAAATAACAGAGTAATGAAATAGTTTAGTTGACGACAATTCGCTGTTCCCAAAGAAACAGTACACTGCAACTAAATAACAAGATCAACAATAATTACGAGGAGGTCTAGTCTAGTTGTAGCAACGTCCGATGGAGGCAAGATGTTTCCTGGTTTAATGTTATATTATGTAGATATGCAATATCAATTTTCCGAGGCGAAAGCAAAGCCGGCAGCGCCAACTTTCTTACAATCAGAGCCCAAAGGCTATGTCCCTAAGATTTCTGCTCAATATTTATTTTGGCTTTTTCATGTCTATCATAAACTGGGCACGTTACATATCACCATGCATACAAGTTTTTTTAAAGGATTTATTAGAATTAAATATCTTTCTCTACATGTACCTTTTCCAGTTTTCAACACTGCGGTCTCCCAACCAGTTCCTGCTGTTTTGCTGTCTCCACAAAAAATAGACATATTTTCTCGGTATACTTTCGAGGGCAGCAAATTTAAAAACAAAAAGATAAATTTTAAAAAAAAGTAACAAAAAGAAAGTGCAAGGGAGAAGGATTGGAGTCATCGTTTCATAGAGTTGATAGAGAGAAGATCATTTCGATCAGAAATGAGTTAAGAATGTATGGCGGCTCTCCCATCCCAGTCACACTCGCCGTATCAACTTACACCCCGCTGTTTAGAGGATTATGAGTAGAAATAGTTTTTAAATTATAAAAGGTTAAAATCCTACGTTTGAAAGTGTAAATTGACCCTTTTAGTGTCCATCGGCAATTTGTTCTAAGCGAGGAACAACATTCAATTTGGTAAATGCCTTTAGGTCTTGAAATGTATGACGTCATGTTATAGTGTTAAAAGACAAAATTGGCAACTTATTTAAGTGTTCAGAAAATGAATGGAAATAATGTATATCCATAAGCCATTCAGTTAAAAAAAAAAAAAAACATAATAAGCAAGTTGATCATTTCTATTTGTGGTCGTGAATTTGGCGTGGAAACAAATGTTTCTACGCAAAATACAATTCGTGGTTTAAATATTGGAGTATTTCCATTATATTGCGAAAAGATGTTCAATTACGAAGAAAATGACTTTACCTACTAAAAATTGATCCCGCACAGGAATCTCCTGCAACTAACCCTTCTCATATTTTCAACCTCTTTGATATCCTCGTATTGTCAGGTTAATTCCATGTCGAATTCCCGATCAAGAAAGTAGTTGTTAAATTTTAATTTAGCCTGTTCGATACCTCTTTTTCTGAGGTGACTTAAGGTATAAACAAGTAGTACTTTTCATCCTCCGCGCTTAATTTATCACCAGGTAACTTCTACGAATAACACTTAGCTCTTTTAGAGGTGGTACCTTGGGTGTGCCCTTTCTTCTCCGAATTTTCTGTTTCCTCTGTTGTTATGTAACAGTCTTCGAGGACTATTTTCTCTTAAGATATCTTTTTAAGTATGATTCTAATTCTGTCAGTAAGTTCATTATAATTTTTATATTGTCAATCTTGTTTTTGTTTTGCCCAACCTTGATTGTAAGAGTAAGAAATTTAAGGTAGAAAATGATTTTGTAAAGCGTAAACATCTCGAAGGTACATGCTTAGCATGCAGGAACTGTTTCTCACAACTTAACGTGATTCGCTAACTTAGTGAGAAATGATGACGACGACAATAAGAAAAAGGTGACCGAAATTCTACCTATAAGATACGACCGCCAAAAGGAATAGGAAATTATTAACTTGCTTATTATGGTTTTTTTTTTACAGAATGGCTTACTCCCCCCCCTGGATGGGATGCTAGTCCATCGCAGGGGTTACCCCCAGCATATTTGCTGGTACCCATTTGTACACTTGGGTGAAGAGGAGCACTGTGAGAGTAAAGTGTCTTGCCTTAGAACACAACACAATGAACCCGGCCAAGGCTCGAACCTGGACCACTCGATCGGGAGTCGAGTGCACTAACCATGAGGCCTCCGCGGCTTATGGTGATACATTATTTCCATTTATTTTGCGAACACTTAAATAAGTTAAAAACGCGTATACAGAAAATTCTTGCTGGATGCCAATTCTGTCTTTTAATAATATGGGTTACTTCTTGCTGGCTAGTATCTTTTTTATGTAGAGCTACTTTGGAATAAGAGTGTAATTTAGTATTATCAGCCTTATTCCAAACTAATAAAGGGGCTAAGTTCATAAAGAAACTATGGTGCTGCGTCGGTGGGCGAGTATGACAGGGTAATTAAGTATTATCAACTGAGTTGATAAAGTAAATTGGCTACCGTAAAGGCTTTAAAAGCTGATGTTTCGAGCGTTAGCCCTTCGTCAGAAGGATTGGAGGAATTGTGGGTTGTGTGTATTTATATGCAGAAAATGGAACTACGCTATTGGTGGGAATGTGGTGACGAGAAAACAATTATAAATTAGA